CTGAATACAATTTAATAAAATTGAATTAAATTGAACAAAATTGAATAAAATTAGATAAAATTGAATAAAACTGAATAAAACTGAATAAAATTGAATTAATTGAATTAAATTGAATTAAATTGAATTAAATTGAATAAAATTGAACCAAATTGAACAAAATTGAACAAAATTGAATTAAATAAAATAAAATTGAACAAAATTGAACAAAATTGAATAAAATTAAATAAAACTGAATAAAATTGAATAAAATTAAATAAAACTGAATAAAACTGAACAAAATTGAATAAAATTTAATAAAATTGTACAAATTTGAACAAAACTGAAAAAAATTGAACAAAATTGAATAAAACTGAATTGAATTGAATTGAATAGAATTGAATTGAAATAACCCCTTGCCGTACTTTAACGAGTCCAACACGTCACGAAAATTTCTAGTAATAATTTATTCATGATATTCTGTCCTTTAAAAAGAATTGCAATAAAATTTGAATCTCTTGTCATCACAATATTTAAGCATTCAAGTAAATTTAAACACAGAATAATCATCAATTCTCTTTCCCTTTTAAGAAATTACTGCGATTCGAAAATTTCTAATCGCAACAAATGCGAAAAGAAACGTTATGCCAAGCGATTAAAATCCTTGTGTGTACAACTGGGTGTCGTCCATTTGTAATCACATTTCTTCAATAATTTCATCGTAGCTTTTGGCGCAACGCTGTTTGGATATAAATCGAGTCAGTCGGTCGATCGGATAGATCGGGGGAACCGGGACTCGAACCCGGATCTTTCGCTTGCCGGGCGACTGCTTTAACCAATTAAGCTATCCCCCCGCACCCAACCGACAACGCATTCTCTCTCCTGGTCACATGTTGTAACGCGAACACCGCGGAAATTCCGATTCCTGTGCAATGCCGCGGGAATCGTTTCGTATTCCCGTTCTTCGTCCAATTCGTGTAGGAAAAATTTGCCTGAAATTCGTTTCGAACAACCAACCGATTGTCGAATATTGCGGCCATTTTGGTTGCACACACAAGAATTAACTGGTTTTCCCTGTCGTCGGTAATCTTGCGATTGCATCGTTCTCAATGATCTTAGGCTGAATTTGGTCGAATTTGGACGTAACGATTTCTTGAAGAAAATTTTTGGGATATAAATAATATACCATAAATATTTATAGTATAAATAATATACTATTATACTATAGTATTATACTATTAGTATAGAAAATATTATACTAATGTACTATAGTATAAATAATATACTACTAATATATTTATAGTATAAATAATATATCATAAATATTTATAGTATGAATAATATACCATAAATATTTATAGGATAAATAATATTCCATAAATATTTATAGTATAAATAATATACCATAAATATTTGTAGTATAAATAATATACTATAAATATTTACAGTATAAATAATATACCATAAATATTTATAGTATAAATAATATACTATAAATTTATAGTATAAATAATATACTATAAATATTTACAGTATAAATAACATACCATAAATATTTATAGTATAAATAATATACTATAAATATATTATATATAAATAATATAGTATAATAATATATAATATATAAATAATAAAAATATAATAAATATTTAAATGTCATTGTAATAAATGTCATTGAATCGTTAAATTACAGATGTAATCTACGCGAAGACCAAAACTGAGAGTTTCACGCGACCGTAAAATATAATAATACAGTTTTGTTAATTTTTCGAATTTAAATCGGGACACTGTTGTTCAAATTTAAAGCCGAGTATTTTTATCGAAAACTTTTGAACGTTTTATGAGAAACACACACACACACACACACACACATACACACGCGCGCGCGGCTGTTATCGGTGAAAAATGAAAATATTTATCGAGCACGGGAATTAATTAACGCGATTCTAAATCAACTACGTTGAATTGAATGATTATCAAAAATCTCTCTTTGCCATTTCAACGAAGCTTTCATTCGAAAATATCCTCGAGCATCTTTCATTAAAGCGAAGCTTTTGGGAAACTGTTTAAACAATTTTTTTACCACTTCGCGAGCATAACCTCCGAGAGATACCATCATCCACGTTACGTTATTTATTTTTTTATTATATACCGGTGATGTAACCCGTCGACATTACGAGAGATACGAATAAACTAGGAAAGACAATGAAACAAAAAAAGAAATTAAAAATATAAAAATACGTAAATTAATAGACGTGTATGCGGTAAAATAAATATTTTCTCCTATTGCTCGAGCTCGAAAAATATTCGATGGAAGGCTGATCGGAAATAGGATTTTTAATATTAAGAGCAAGTACAGTCTAGAGCAGAAATATGACTATTTATGCTATGACTTTACTATTACGACTTTACAACTATTATTTATGCTATTCATGCTTTGACTCATTTATGCTCTTAATCATAAGAAAAAGTAGTAATTTAAAGCCAAAAATAAGTTTAAATTAAAAATAAACATAGATAATAAATATCAACCCTTTGCACTCGAGTGGCGACTCTGAGGCGCCACCGAAATTGTTATATCGCGTTCCAAGATAGTTTGTATTGTCATTATTATTATATTATTTCTATGATTATTTTATCATCGAAGTTTCGATTTAAGAAACCTAAATTAAAAATGTAACTCTGTTACATGAGTCACAAATTTGTAAAATTGTGACAAAAGTGCTCCAAAAATGGGACATCGGTGAACAATGACTGCATTTATTAATTAATGCCAGCATTTTCTTCGGAAGTGGCAGTTTTTAAGCGGAAAAAACGTTGAAAAAGTGTGCCAAAACTGGGCCATCGCCGAATTGATTATCATTTTTACGAAGCGACATCAAACAAAATTTCTGCTCCCAACTATTTCCGTAAACCTAACATCAATCTCAAGATCATGTTCGCCGCCACAGCACGATTCAGAGTCGACGCCTGCAGTCGTCGCGAAGACACGTAGGAAGAAGCTCCGCCGCGTGAGCTTCTATGGGAAACCGGAAGGAGTCGGGGCGCCGCGGGCGAAAAAAAGCGATCCCCGCGGCGCGGCGCGGCGTTGCGACCGTGATTAGGTAATCTCGAAGGGTATACACGATCGCTTGAGGACCAAGTAGACGGTCCTCGTGATGGAGGAGGCGGTCGGAGAGCACGCGAGAGAGCACGGTGGTCGAGGGGGGAGGGGGGGAGGCGGTGGAGGAGGAGTGAAGAGATCTCGCGAGCAACGACACGGGGACGGAGAGATCGTGAAAAGCGAGAAGAGCGGTGAAAAGGTGGCTACTCGGCTTTGTAACGGAGTTAAGAAGACGAGGAGAACCGTGGAAAGAGGCGGGAGAGCGCGCATAACCGCGGAAACCGTCTGCGGAACCGGAGAGAACGTAGAAAAATGGCGGGTCGGCCCGACGAGGAGGGTTGCGAGGGGTGGTGCGGGTGGGGAGGGGCCAGCGCGGCGACACGCGAATCGCCGGAGGAAAGAAGAAGGAGAAGCCGGAGAAAAGAGTGCGCGGCAGGAAGAAGAGGAAGAGGAAGAGGATGGCCCTTGTGCACCGAGGACCCCAGGATACCCGGCAAGGAGTATCCTAGAACTGTCGAGGATCCTTCACTCCCATCGTCTTCCTCGTGCTCTTCGATCCTCCCTTGTCCCCTTCCTTACCCTCTCTCGCTCTCTCTCAATCTCTCTCTCTCTCTATCTATTTGCTTCTTTCGCTCTGACTTTTCCCCCCTCACTGTTTCTCGCTCTTTCTCTCTCTCTCTCTCTCTCTCTCTCGCTCTCTCTCTCTCTATCTCTTTGCTTCTTTCGCTCCGACTTTTCTCTTCCTCTCTCTCTCTCCCTCATTTTCTCTCGCTCTCTCGCTTTCACTATCTGTTTGCTTCTTTCTCTCTTTCTCTCCTTCGCTCTCTCGTTCTCTCTATCTCTTTGCTTCTTTCGCTTTGACTTTTCTCTCTCTCTCTCTTGCTCTATCGCTTCCTCTCTCTTTGCTTCTTTCGCTTTGACTTTTCTCTCTCTCTCTTGCTCTATCGCTTCCTCTCTCTTTGCTTCTTTCGCTTTGACTTTTCTCTCTCTCTCTCTCTCTCTCGCTCTCTCTATCTCTTTACTTCTTTCGCTCTGACTTTTCTCTCTCTCCCTCTCTCTCTCGCTCCCTCTATCTCTTTGCTTCTTTTGCTCCGACTTCTCTCTCTCTCTCTCTCTCTCTCTCTCGCTCTCTTTATCTCTTTCCTTCTTTCGCTCCGTCTTTTTTTTCTCTCTCACTCTGTCTCTCTTTCTCTCTCTCTCTCGATCTCAGTCTGCGATATGTCATCTCTTCTTTTCGTCGTCCTTGCGTCGCCGCTCTCCTCTCCTTGTAAATATGGCCCGCTCCCTTCCCCGTTCTTCTTCTTCACCGCGTGTCCCATCAGGATCTACTCTTGCAAAGGGAACCGTCGTCTCCTTCAAATGCTACACCAAGAGGGATATCGTCCCCCCTTGCCCCTCCTATCCTCTCCCTCTAGCAACTCACCCGTCCGACTCACTGTTTCACTCTTTCTTTATTCCTTTCGTGTTCGATCTCTCCGGTCCGCTCTGTTCTTTCTCATCTCTTCCGCTCTGTCTCTCTTTGCCTTTGAGTATGCCCATCTTCATATCTCTCTCTCGTGCGCCCGCTCTCTGTGACGGTCTCTCTCAGTCACTCTTTCCGTTTCTACGGTGTTCATTCTCCCCCTCGAATCTCTTCTCTGTCGCGTCCTGTGTGCCGCAAGACTTTCGTACGGATTGCGAAATCAAGGGCTCTTCGAGGGCTCTGGAGTAGATGGAGAGGAGGGGGGGAGGGGGAGAGAGAGAGAGAGAGAGAGGCGTAAGCAGAGAGAGAGAGAGAGGAGAGAGAGAACGGAAGCGAGAGGGATAAGCAGAGAGAGAGAGTGGAAGAGAGAGAGAGAGAGAGAGAGAGAGAGAGAGAAAGGAAGCGAAGAGTTAACAGAGAGAGAAAAAAAGAGAAAAAGGAAGCGAGGAGTTAACAGAGAGAGAGAGAGAGAGAGAGAGAAAGAAAGAGAGAAAGGAAGCGAGAGGAGTTAACAGAGAGAGAGAGAGAGAGAGAGAGAGAGAGAGAGAGAAAGAGAGAGAGGAAGCGAGAGAAGTAAACAGAGAGAGAGAGAGAGAGAGAGAGAGAGAGAGAAAGGAAGCGAGGAGTTAACAGAGAGAGAAAAAAAGAGAAAAAGGAAGCGAGGAGTTAACAGAGAGAGAGAGAGAGAGAGAGAGAGAGCGAGAAAGAAAGAGAGAAAGGAAGCGAGAGGAGTTAACAGAGAGAGAGAGAGAGAGAGAGAGAGAAAGAAAGAGAGAAAGGAAGCGAGAGGAGTTAACAGAGAGAGAGAGAGAACGCGACGCAGCGCGCGAGAATCCGCCCCGCCACCCTCGCGGCTTCCAGCGCTCGCGCCCGGATTCGATGGCTCCTGGCAAACTATCGATAGATCGATCGCGGAGCTCAATGTGGAACACCGCATGGATTCTCTCGAGTTTGCAGTCTTTCTCATTTTTAAAGCCGGCGAGATTCCAACAAATTTTTCATTCTGCGGTCTTTTTTCTCTTTCAATTTCTCTGTTCAATTGGAGACCTTAAAAACGCCATTTTTGGGAATCGGAGGTTTGTCGGAACGGAAATACCAACAAATACCAACGTATGTAATCGCGACAACTCTTATTGTATTTGTAACGTAAGATACGTATGTATTGCGTGTCTTATTACTTTTATATGGACGATGCGAGCAAGTCAGTCAGTCGTATGGTATGGTTGCACGTTTTCTATCGTACAGTATACAGCATGTCCCATAATTATGTTAACAGCCGGAAATGGGGG